CAGGGGAAATGGACTGAGAACTGCCGCCCTTCAAGCGGTCCCAGATTAGACGACGCCGAATATAGTGACGGTGAACACAACGAAGAGCCAACAACACCACGAGACCGGTTTGCTTGGACTGAACCACTGAAGCAATCCTTCCGGGAGGAATTGGAGAAACTCGTCATCTTGGACTACATAATGAGGAATACCGATCGCGGTCTCGATAATTGGATGGTCAAGATTGATTGGGAGACTGAAAAGGTTTCAGTGGTATCAGATCCAGTTCGGCTGAATATGGAGACAGTGGCCGAGGAAGAAGGACAAGGGCCACGACCGGTTGATTTGAGCAATCGTCCCACTAGCTCTGCACCAAGAGCATCAAATCCTTATAGGAGCCAAAAACCCATGGATGCATCAAGTAGCAGACCGGTCAAAGGCGCACCGCAGATATCCCTTGGCGCAATCGACAACTCCCTATCATGGCCCTGGAAACATCCTGATGCTTGGAGAAGGTGAGTGTAACCACACAAGTAGAGGTGAATTCTCAGAAGCAACGCTAACAAATTTGTCACTCGAAAGCTTCCCCTTTGGCTGGCTTTTCCTACCTGTCGATCTCATCGGCCGGCCATTTTCTCAAAAGACGCGAGATCATTTTCTGCCTTTGCTGACTTCCGCCACTTGGTGGAGCCAAACTTCAATGGCCCTCAAACGAGTCTTCCAAAATGATAACGACTTCAAGGAGCGAATGTTTGCCAAGCAACTAGCGGTTATGAAAGGCCAGGCCTGGAACGTCGTCGAGGCATTGAAGACTCCGGATCACGGTCCCCTGGAGCTGACCCGTCGGACCAAAGTCTGCGTCTGGGACGATTTGGTAGATGTGCCAATTGCAGTGCCAATGCGCATAACTTCAAACGACTCGCAGCGGAATATCCAGCCGCGCGAGAGCATGGATGAGGCTGACATTGCCGGGTCAGTGCCTGCAAACCAATCCAAGGTTGACGATCTCCTCGGCCTGCACTCTTCTCCGGCAGACATGCCTCACCCAGGGCGGTTCGAAGTGACCACGCCCAACGACGATGGGGCCATGTCTCCTGTCAACGAACGCCACGCTTATGCCTCCTCGGGCCCGGCCCCATCACGGACGAGCCTCCCAGCCATGGAGCGCCCTTCAATGCACCCCGCCAGCAGCTACCACAGCGTAGACCCGCCCCTCAACCCTTACGACGCTGCTCGGCAGAAACACCAGCGCAGGTACTCTACCGCCTCGGGAGCCCACCATAATAACCTCAGCATTGCCCAGCAGATTTACAACGGCGACGACCTCGAGGGTGACATCGGCTACGCCGCGGCAGAGGGCCAAATGGGAAATCAACGAAAAGTTATCGTCGAGCGTCTCGAAACCGTCAAAACGAGCCCAGTTTTCACCTGGTGCTAACAAACCTGTACACCACCTCTTTTTTCCTTTTCTCCTTCTTCTCTATTCATACAATGTTGTAGACGACGACAACGGCCTTGTTCTTTTTCTTTTATAAAAAAAAAATCAGAAGATGTCTTGTTACTGTTTTCTTTCCCCTCCTCCTCCTAGAGCACAACCAGGGGATTGTCCGCTGAGCGTTGTGTACCGTCATCTCAAGCTGTACACGCTCTACCCCTGCATACTTCTACGATAGAAATTTCTCTCAACGGATTCGATGATCGCTAACGTCTCAGGACACACACATCGCACATTGCGTATGAGAAGGGGTGTTTTCGTTAAATGGCATTTCAAGACTTCTTGCAGCCTCGGCTCATCACCTGGTCCAGAGTGGAGAATCTCGATCATCAACATTATTTCTGTTTTCTGTTTCCTCTTTTGTTTTCTTATCAAGTTTCGCACCGGAGCAGGAGACGCATGTATTTCTAAAGGGTCACAAAATAGATGGAACAACAGGGGTTTCGGAGGGGACTGGATAGGGGGTCGGCATCACTTCATGGATTAGCTGCGGGGCGCTTATTTCCCCTAGAAATCAATACGGAACTGAGGGAGAGAATGCCAAGTCCTTCGCGCTCCCGATTATTCCTGTGCCTTGTGTTGTCTCAGCTCAGCGGCGCGCCATGACTCATAAGCATAAGCCGAACCACATTGCTGGAGCCAGGACCCGACTGTTTGGTTAGGTCTCAGGGCACCCCCTGGCATTTCCCATTACCAAAGCGCGCTATTGTTATCATGCCTACTGATTACGTGCCTACCCGTTCAGCCTAGGTATTAATAGACGCTGGCATCTAAATAATTTCCCGCCGGGCAAGCGTAGCTCAAGTGTCATCGTCAGGCGGACATTAATCACCAAATCAAGTACAAACCTCTTACTAGTTAGGATTAACATAGGCAGAAGCCACCTCATCTACAATTGTGCGGGAGGCCCATGACACCACAGTGCAGGAAATTGCGCCAGCACAGCACTAATAAGGATTGGATCTTCTTTGGCCGGGCGGAAGACCCACTTGAAAGACCGCCAATCCCACCACAGCGGGCCGCAGCGGCCAAACCCATCTCAGTCCATAACCAGGACCTTCCTGCTAGGGAGGGTCAACAGATGGGACAATCACTTGAGAAACAAACGCATGAAGGACAATTTTACTTTAGTTACCAATAAGATAGCTCTTACTTGTTGGGTCCATCAAATACCGCAACGGGACGCAACGACTTCTTGAAAGCTGTTTCGTCAATGTGAGGTACCTATGTTAGGCGAGCACAGCTGATAGCCAGTCATGCTACAAGTCAGCAGGGAGCAGCCGTTTCCTAGCCGATCAATGGGAACTGCAGTTCATGCTACACTTCCTGACTGAGACTCAAGCCCATTCCATTGTGCCCCAACCTACCAGCACGCCATCAAGTCAGGAAACTTCATGACCCATAAGCGGGACATGGGAAAACTGTGTCGTTTGAGTGGATCAAGGCAGGGGTTCTATGCAGTCAATTATGACCTTGGGGTTCAAATTGCCGCTAGCACCAGATGTGTGCGGCCGAATTACCAGACTGTTGGGTTCGAGGGACAGGACGGGATGCTCCACGCCATCAATCGAACACCACAACAATCCGCATCATGTCCCTCCCTCGGGTCATACTGCCACAGTTAAACGCGGCCCTTATGAAGGACTCCATGTCTTCGGTCGAAGCCGAGGACAGTTCAGATCCACCATGTCACTGTCTCATGCATTCATTAGCCTGTATCCACCTGGCCATGGAGTCCTGCCAGGGTCGCTTTCCCATAATGAAAGAGAAATGTGAGGTAGAGTTCCTACGCCTAGCGGCATATTCATGTCCAGCAGCTGAGGCTGCTTTTCAGCTCTGTTCGGCCTCTCCGGGTTGTGAAATCCGGGTCTTGGCCCAAGATGCCTCATATATAGCCTCAATCATCAAGGAGGGAAACATCCGTCTCCCACCCTTCATCGAGGAGGCGGTGAAGAGTAGTTCGATACTACTGAACCCAAAGAGACAGGAGGCGGTTGCTTTGCTTCTCCCTCCCTAGCTGGTAGCGTGAGCTCGTTTGCCCCGTTTTTCTCGTCAAGCCCCTGCTATCTGGATCCTAATTCACGACTTTGACCAGCTGACTTTGCTTCAGCTCCTGGTTGGGATCATATTTCCAATACAAGCCGTAGGGAGCGAGGATGTGGTCAAGCAATACAGGGCCTGCCATATCAAAATGGAGAATCCGAGTTGGTAATCATGGAGGCTCTCCGTCATAGGTTTCTCTTTCCGCCTCCACGATCCATCCCTTGCTTTCAAACCCAAGCTCCTGGGACGCCGTAGACAGGTTTGTGCACGCTCCTTGGCTAGGAATTAAAACCGCTTGGCTGCATGACCTGTTCAACATTTTACTTCCCTGTGTGTGGGTTCTTAGCAGCCCAGTGCGTGAGACTGCCCCCCTCCTCTGTCCGTAGCACTAACATCCTTGGCCAAGTTTTTTGCGCCACGCTGGCTTGACCTGGTTTTCGCTCCTGGGGCTTGCAGCGACGGTCATTGAAGGATACCAATTTCCGAATATTTCCTCCAAGGTAAAGCTTGGTACCGTAACCTGGAAGACCGCAAGATTCTGCCCAATTTAGAGGCGCGCGCACAGGGCAGATGTGCGATGTCTAAAATAAATGTGAGAGGTGTAGGCTCTTAGAGCAACAACACCGACTGTGCAATCTGAACCAAAATAGGGATGAAATCAGATCAACAAATAGACTCATGATGCCAGCCACCCGCTGATCCGATCTTCCATTCTGCCAGGATCCACAGCTCAAAGTCTTAGCTGTGATTGTGATTCATGGAAAGGCCGCTGTTTCGCAGTTAGTCAGGTATGTCCATGTCTCTGGCATCTTGCTGACTGTCCGATTGCGAGAAGTACTCGAGATGTAAAAGGGTGCCATCAAATATTTCTGCCACCAAATCATAGACTGACACTCACCCTGTCATGGGTATGAAACTAAGCTTGAGAAGATAGAAGCGCGCTCGGTGCTTGCATGGTCAAGCCTTCAATAACTTGCCCAATTCACGCTTCGCTGCCCCAGTTCTTGTATTCCCCCCATTCCCGTCCCTTGCCCGCCCATTTCACATATTGGGGTGGATCCTGGGTCAAGCCAGCAGGACCAGGCACCACCGGAGCCTTGATATTATGCCTCCAGCCTACGATCGGCAGTATAATCATATACGACAGATTCGGTGGACCGTTCATGTGTGCTGGCAGTATTTGGCCCCTCCCCACCAGTTCTAAGGGATCAAAGGCTCAGCGTCTGCATATGCTGGCAGTTGCGAGCCAGTAAGGGACGAATAAGAGTACCTTGTGCGTGCGGGAGGGCATAACGCTGAATTTCGGAGCCACTACACGACGACTAACTGTGGCCAGCGGTTTGCGAAGACAACCAAACCTCAAATCCCTATTTCCCTAGTCTATACCTTTTCGCCAAGTCCAGAAACTTAACAAGCAGGAATAAAAGCTCGGGGACACATTTGATCACGAGAGCTTTGCTTTGCTTTGCGTCGGTTGATTGACATGGAGCCAGAGTAAGAATACGCGAACCGGTGCGTTGAACAGAGCACAACTAACAGCTTTAGTGACGGAACAGTCCCTCTGGATGACGCTTTTGCGGAGGTCGTTGAGTTTCATGGTCGAATGTACCAAAAGTATGCCTTATCTAACAGGACATATTTCTCACCGGTGGATGAGGTAAATCGGGTCTCTCCTTCGGCACCATATTCGACTAACTTTCGGCAGAGAGAGACAGCGCGGCTCGAGCAAATGCATCGTATCTTTAACCAAGTGTTCGACAATCGGCTGATATTCCCCCCCGTTGCCTCTCCGCGCAGAGTTCTTGACCTCGGCTGCGGAGGCGGTGATTGGGCATCAGCCGTAGCTGAAGAACTTCCGAGAGCGTCGGTAAGTTCAAATCATCCAGAGAATAGAGACGATATTTTGTGCTGTTGCAAGGGCTGAAAGAGAACACAAGGTCCTGGGAATCGATGCCAGTCCACATATGTTGCCGGAAGATCCCCCAGACAACCTCGAGTTACAAGTAGACGATTTGAACGCAAGGTTGAATGACAATCCCAGGCTCTTTCCGAATCTTGACGAAGAACTAACTGTTGCCATTTTAGATTCACATTCCAATCGGATCGATACGATATTGCCCATAGTCAAATGGTTGCAGGAGGGATCCATGCAGATCGCTGGGAGAGCTATATTCGGGACATATTTCGTGTCCTCAAACCGGACGGGTGGTGTCAGATGGTCGAGATATATTTCAACGCTCAATCCGACAATGGAAGATTAACTCGGGGTAGGCCAAAGCTTCCCACAGGAGAGTGTCGATGGCTAACCAAGTGTGGTCACTTCCTGTAGACCATGCACTCTCGAAATGGTCAAGAAATTACTTGCAAGGAGTACAGCCGTATAAGAATCCCCGGGCTCCATTACAAATCGCCAACTGGATGCGCAATGCCGGCTTCACGGAGGTTGAGTCGAAACTGCTGGTACTCCCCATGTGCGGCTGGTCAAGCAGTAAGTTCCCGGTGCCATGACGAAAGCTCATCCGAATTAACTGTTGAATCCTCTAATTAGGCCCTCGCGACCGAGCAATTGGACAAACAATGGCGGGCATCATCCGAAATCTGCTGCATACGATCGGTTTATATCCAATGGTGCATTTAAAAGGGTTGAGGGCGAGCCCCGAACGAAACGTGATGGATATATCCACTGACAAGGTTGAACAGAATGCCGATAGAAGAATTTGAAATTTTGGTTGAAGATGCAAGCGCGGAGGCCAATGATCCGTCATTCAAGGTAGGAATCCCCGATATCCGACCTCTATCAGGACACATTGCTGACCACGAACGGTTCGAATAAAGGCCTATTTTCCACTGTAAGAAACATTCATGTTTCGGTCTCTTAATATGGGCTAACAGTTCGAGAAAGATACGTGTGCATCGGAAAGAAACCGAGAAGCCGAGCGAGGTAATGAGCGAGGTTGCGGAGACGGTACTCTAGGTAGCCCAACCACTGCCGGAGATGACCAGGGATCAGCATTTCAATAATGTTTGGGGGCCGCGTAAGGATTTCGTGGTACAGGATGGGAAACGAGACGAGGGGGGGTTTTGCGGGAGAAATGGTTTGGGCAGGCACCAACCAACATTCAGAGCAAGAGGGAGTGAAGACGTGCCGTGGGTCGGAAAGATTGGGCACCACCTTCCTGTCAAAGGCATCATACCTACTGCCTCAAGCCCTGCCCCGATGTCGCAGTACTCTCCAGGTGCAGTGCTGCGGGTAGGGTGGCACCTAAACACATTGTCTTACCTGGCCGTCCATGGCAAGCAGAATTTTTGGAGGCTGGGAGGGCACCAAGGTAACAGGGAAGAAAATGTGCGTTGTATCCAGTGACTTTTCGGTACTGAACACGGCAATAGGGATGAAGTGTGGCTCCAGCAGTTGTATACCCCTAGGAAAATCAATAAGATACCTTGCCTTAGTACATACACTGGCATGTTTTGCTGCGGCTGTGCTCGAATGGCGTCTTGCTTTGTGTTGTATGCAGGACCAGGACGTCACACACCATGCACCAAAGCAGGCGACCGGCATCTCTTGGTGCTGGTCAGGAGGAGAAGCCACAATGGTAGCTGAGCATACCTATCTTGATGATGGGCTAGGGAGATTATTACGTCCTCTCTTGGCTTGGACTTAGTACGCGGCAGGCCTCGTTGCCGTTGGGCTAGGACCAGGTAGAGATGGAGACCTGCAGCCCGAATCACATTTGTCACATCTGATTGGGTTAGGTTTTAATTACAGATTCCCGAAGCCCAACACGAACAAATCGATGTCACAGATTCTTTTGACTACTGCGAATCTGCAGGTTCAAAACCTTCACTTTTCGTGGCGGGAAACCTGACTCAAGCACAACGTCGGGATAAACATACATGCAAGTCCCCAGCCTCACAAATTGGAGTGTCGATTCTATGATTCATGCCCAATCCGAACGCGTTGATGCTCTCAACATCCAGACAGTCTCCATGAAGGACATCCCTGAACCTAGCTCTACTTCCCGTCCCCAACTACTGGATAGCACCAAATGATGAATTGACAGGACAAATCACCGATAAAAAAACCTTCCCTGCCCAGGCTCAACAGCTCTCCTGAACCAGCCCTGTATAACAGGATGCTAAATACGTCCTGTCTTGAGTGTCATCCTAGTTTCGGCATGCTTCCGCGGCTCACCCTAGCTCCTAGTGGATTATTGTGCAGGAGCAAACCGGTCAGGTGATGAGGAATGCCATGTGCATTTCATCTCATACATCAAACCATTTGTGAGCCAGTACTAAATATTCCAGTCAATGACGTTTAAAATGAGGCTATTCCAGTATTGACACGCGCCAATTGAGTTGTAATCATGGACCCGTCAGTTTGCGTCGACCTGAGCAAGTATGGGTACGACTGGATCCATGCGAAAAGGACAAGACCAGGGGGGTTTACATCAGGCATTGTAAATTATTTCGCTCAAGATAGGAAGACGACCAACACTGGAGATGCAACGCCCGACAAGGGTCAGGATGTTTTTTTAAAAAAAAGAAAAAATATCTCACTCTGCCTCCTGTCCTCTATGAGGTAGTTGTGTGTTGCTTACCCTAGAATCCTAGCTCACTTCATTCTCTTGTCCAGCCCTAAGAACCTTTATATCGACTTCAGCACCTCTTTCCTCCAGACAAGATATTCTTTTAATCCAAGTTAAGATATATTATCTTCCATGTAATGGGATTTCCCCTTTTTTCTTTTTATTACCTCTCGTGACTTCACTATCAACCTTAGGCTATGAATCATTGAGCACTCAGCTCAATAGGTGACAGAAAAGCGAAGTTCATAGCGATCGCTCATCTCATGTCGCTTGAAAGTGATTTTCTTGCATCTCATTCTTCGATTGAACTAAGTGCGATCTCAGCTTATCGAGGAAGTATGTTTTCGGATCCCACCAAGTTTCACCGGTACAATTTTTCGCGGTTTGCTGTATATGAGAGAGTTGACGTAGATAGGCGGCGAATCGTCAATTAATCCGATCTAGAAGGGCCTTTGGCCTGCTTGGCAAATACATCAAAGTGCTTCCATGTAAAGTACCTTTTTGGAGGTTTGGTTCTATCGGGCTGACGCCTTTCTTCAAAAAGGTAGTGACACCACTTTTCAGCTCGTTCCTTCCATCTTGCCTCGGTTGGATTTTGATGTCTTGGGCGGGCGGCGGTGTTCACACGCCTGTGTTCCTCATCCTTTTCTCTCCTCCCCCTAGATGAATTCCTGTCTTGTAGATGCACATGTTTAGTTCCCGAAGACAGCCACTAGCCATACATAACAAGCAATTCGGACGCCAACGACCCTCGCCTGACACACAAGGGAACTCGGCCAATTCAACAATCAATTCAAATCGTGTATTTCACACTGTGCTTTAAATTTCTCAGAACATATAACATGCAAGAACACTAGACAATTTGACCGGGATGGATAGAGGCTCGTGAATCGTACGCAACAGGCAGAAAATAAAACATGGCACACCAAACCACTGCTATCGTAGAAGCTGCAGGCCCAGTATTCTTTGATTGATAAAAACGGCCACAGTAACAATTGACAAATAATTTGTTTTCTGAAATTTGTATACATCATTTATGCATTATTAAGTCAATTGTTGTAGATATAATGTCGAATCCAGTGCCGATGGTTTTGATGTGCCAGTTCAAAGTGAATGTGGATCCAGAAGACACAACCCCAACTCATAACTTTTTTATGGAGCTTTGGCAGCAGCAGAGAGCTTCACCTTGCATCCACCCTCATCTAATCGAAACGCCATTCCAACGGCTAGATCGCTGCTGGGTTCTTCTTAGCCTAAGAGGCACAGGAGGCAATTCGAACTTACCCACACCCCCTCCAATCTAATCATTCCCGAACATGGCGTCTCGTCAATCCCTGCGCGCCTTCCAAGCCATTCGGTCCTTGGCCACAGCCTCCTACCGACCTCGAACATGGCAAGCACTGCGATTCTACTCCGAGGCCGCTGCCAATGAGGCCCCGGCGAGCGCGCCGTATCTCCAGCATCTCAAGACCGATCTCAAGACTGCCATGCGAGCCAAGGACGCCCCTCGCCTTGCCGTTCTGCGAGCCATCCTCTCCGAGAACCTCAATGCTTCCAAGACAAAGACTCCCATTAGAACAGACCCCCAACTCGTGATTCAGATTATGAAGATGAAGCGATCCACCGAGGATACCGCTGCAGAAGCCAAGAAGGTCGGTCGGGACGATTTGGCCGAGAAGGAGCTCGAGCAGGCCAAGATCCTGGAGGAGTACATCGTCAAGAGCAAGCTTGAGGTTCTGGGAGAGGAGCAGCTCCGTCCAATGATTAAGGAGGAAATCGAGCTGTCCATCGCGGAGGGCGGTCAAGCCAAGACCCTCATGGCAGATGTGATCAAGCGGATCAAGGTTGCGACCGAAGACAAGGTTGTTGAGAACAAAATCCTGGCCCCGTTGGTCAAAGAACTCATCAATGAGAGGAACAAGCAAAATTAGAGGTAAATTCCGAGATCAGAGAGTCTCCAGATGTATTAAAATGTAAAGTATTATGTACAACACTCAGCCTTAGACGAGATGATGCAATGCCCAGATATAACCTCTCCAAGTATGCCATATCTTGTATTCCCTTATATAACTTAAGTGTGTGGACCGGTCTTTTTAAGATAAGAAGCCGATGGGAATTCGAATTATCGATTCCTCATAGGTATCTAACTGCGAGATGAGTTGGGTATTTCTTATTCCTCCGGATACGGAGATGCTACTAACCCCACACATAGATATCATACTGAGTCATCGAGATGGTATAAGTTACTTTTTTCTCGCTCGGTTCTCTTTTTCTAAACCCCGTGGAATACTGCTCAGATCCAATTTTAACATCAACTCGTTCATCATGTCGCGAATCAACATTAGCTCAGGCTCTGCCTTTGAAGCCGAGATTGGCTATTCCCGCGCCGTTGTCGTCGATGACTGGGTGATGGTCTCTGGCACAACTGGGTAACAACAAATGGGAAACCGAACCCCTCCCGTCAACCAACTGACAAATTGCGCGTAGATACGACTACAAGACCGGAAAGATATCCGCCGATGTTGAGGAGCAGGCCGAGCAAACTCTCGTCAACATTGCCAAGGCCCTTGAGGAGGCCGGATCGTCCATGTCTGAGGTTGTGCGTGTGCAATACGTTCTTCCACATCGCGATGATTTCCCCAAGACATGGCCAGTATTGAAGAAGTGGTTTGGGGACGTCCGTCCGGCGGCCATGATGATCGAATCAAAGTTGATGAAGGAGGAAATGAAGATTGAGATCGAAGTGACGGCCAAAAAGGGGTGTGCAAAACAGTAGGGGGTCGTGCAAGGGAGCAAGGCTTATCAAGGAATAATCAGAGAAAATCTTCAGAGTTTCAGCAAAGATACTGCTGCCCCAGCGATGAGGGCACTTCCCATGGTGACCAAGCTCGATGTCGACAGTAGTGACATGCCACTAATCCCGTGTCCGGAGGTACAGCCTCCAGCCAGTCTCGATCCAACGGCCATCAAAACGCCTCCCAGAGTTGCCAGGAGAGGCGTTGGCTCCCAGGCAGACGTTCCACCCAACTCAGGTACCAAATATGCCATGCCGAATGCCCCTGTAACAAGCCCGGTGGCGAAGACAATCGAGCCATGCCCAGGTTTCTTGGTGCTGTCTGCCCCATTCACAAGCCACCAGAAGATATTTCCAGCTTCCTCGTAGCACCCGGAGATACCCATCATGGATTTTCGCGAAAGCAGAGAAAATAGCTGTGCAGCACCGAGAAGTAAGCCGCCAACGGCACCTGAGACCTTAGACCGGGTTGTGTTGGCAGAGAAAACAGTTATCGCTGCCACGGTACCTGCGCAGACGAGCTCGAATATGGCCAACCCAACAGGTTTGGATACTCCGACCTGGTCATTCAAGGTGGCCACACCACCCTGAACAACGATATTCTGCCTGCGATTCCTTACTGCCGTGCTGATGGGGCCTGCCCATAAAGCGCCTCCTAAAATTGCTCCCTGGAGGGCGAAGAGGCCGCTACAAATTCCAACCGCGACCTGCACGAGCAATGTCTCCGGTGCTGACCCCGACAGCGACATGCCGGCACCGAGAAAAGCACCCCCAATAGCATTGCCATCAAACCTCCCAAAGAGCCCGAGGGGCGAGGGTCCTCGGGGCTGAAGCCTCACAAATCCCAGACGCTCAACGGCGCTATATATGATGCTGTATCAAGATTAGCTGAATCCAATACGAGATCGTTTTTAGGGTCTCTAACGCGCTGCTTGCTGTTGCTGTGAGAAAGGCTTGCAAGAATTGATGGTTCTCAAACTTCAACTGTGAAGCAACCACTGACGGGTGATGGAGGCCAGCAGCAAAGATGCCAGCTCCAAAGGCCGCACCAGATAAGAACGTAGCCATGGCTAAGCAGGTACCCCAATTCTTGGTTTCTTAGCCAGTTTGAATTGTTGTTTCGTAAATGGCGATAAATAAGTTGTCTTTTAGGGAAGCGTATCACGACTCATGAGGTTCGTAATGTCGCTCATGTGGGAACATGGGGCTAGTACGTATTCACCAAGGAGGAATCTCCTCAGTTTCAAATAGCACGCCACAACCTTTCTAGGATATAGAATATGCATGATCAATGCAATTTTTAATGCCAACTTCAATTGATCATCTGAAAATATAACCAGAAAATCTACTAGGACATCAAACAATTTGCCACTATTCTATCGAGATGTTAGTGTAAGTCAATGGTGTAGGGTAGCATAAAATACCTGAAGAAACGCATACAAGCTTGCAGTAAATTCTTGGAATGGAAGGGAGAAATTAGATGAGCTACCTTTACGTGGTAAGTTTCCAAAGAAATAAGACTTCTTACACTTTTGGAACTCGAGTTCCGGATAGGAGGGAAGTCCAGATGGCATATGAGTTCTAATTAACTGCCTCGGTTGATGAATCGACTGCCGAGGGCGGGGAATAGGTGCTAGTTACATGTAATCATCGAGCTACCCGACAGCACAGTAGGTACTTCGATGTAATGCAGCCAACCTCCATGTATTTAGCTTGTGTGATCTCTAAGCAAACTCTTTCTTCTTTCTTTATCAAAATATTGAAGGATATCAAGGCTACCTAATTTACCTTGATTTCTTTTTAATCTTCAATCGAGAACCGCCAGTTGTATTTTCGGCTTGGGTATTGATTAACCATGTCTCGAGTGCTTCATATAAAACAAGTTGCTGGGAAGCCCGGTGAAGTCTATTACCCGTATGTCTGCGAGCTCTGATAGCGTTGAACTCATGGTTTTTATATCCTAACATTCAATAGGCTTCAGTTACGGGAAGACCCTCGGCCAAAACCTGGGAATGGGGAGGTCCTGGTACAGATATCAGCCGCGGCCCTGAACCACCGTGACCTATTCATCCGCCAGCACCTGTATCCCGCCATTTCATTCGACAATCCTATGCTTGCTGATGGCTATGGAACCGTCGTCGAGCTTGGAAGCAACGTCGCTCAGCCCGAGCTCCTCAACAAGAGCGTGCTGCTGACCCCTATGCGGGGTTGGGAATCGGACCTAGATGGTCCTGACGGCGGGCGCAGTTACGCAGTTATTGGCTCCAGCCGGATCACACCAGCCGGGACCGCCCAGGACTACGTCGTCGTAAGCGAGAAAGATGTGGTGGTGGCGCCCGACCACCTCTCGGCAGTTGAAGGTGCCGCTCTGCCGCTTGTAGGGTTGACGGGATGGCGCGCGCTGGTCACCAAGACGAACGCCGCGGCACCCGGTAAGAATATCCTCATTACAGGGATCGGTGGCGGAGTAGCTCTGCAGACTCTGCAGTTCGGAGTTGCGTTTGGCGCGAATGTATTCGTCACTTCTGGTGACCCAGACAAAATCGAAAAGGCGAAGCAGTTGGGCGCCAAGGGGGGCATTATCTACAAGGAGCCGAAGTGGGAGGCCAAATTGCGGGAACTCCTTCCCAAGGATAGACCGTTTATCGACGCCATCATTGATGGCGCAGGAGGCGATATTGTGTCCAAGGCGGTCAAGCTTCTCAAGCCTGGCGGTGTCATCTCACAGTATGGTATGACCGTGGGACCCAAGATGGATTGGTCTATGCTCGGAGTGTTGAATAATATCGAGCTCAAAGGTTCGACAATGGGGTCGACCAGGGAGTTCAAGGACATGGTCGCGTTTGTTTCCCAGCACAAGATTCGCCCAGTCATCAGTCGAAGTGTGAAAGGACTCGATAACCTCGAGGCTATCGATGGATTGTTTTTGGAAATGAAGGCCGGTTCACAATTTGGCAAACTTGTCATCGAGATTAATGGTACCGAATCGTCAAAGCTATGAGAAGAACTACCGGCCGGGTATCCTGGGGGATTAGAGCGCTATAAATTGGGTTCAATAAGGAGATATATGCCTAGGAATTCACAACTTTCCCTGAAATGGCTCTAATTAGAAATCGAGCCAGCGGCATTGGGTACTAATTAGTTTGTTCAGAGAGAAATGTCTTTTATGCTGCCTAATGCCTCCATACCTTGAATACGCCGAGACGAAGGAAAGTAAATACAGGTTCTTTTTGCTTTGTTTATTCGGACGACTTCTTCCGCTTCTTCTTGGGACGGTCACCTTCCTCTGGGGGAACAAATTCAGCCTCTCGTTCCTTTGCCCTGTCCTTCTTCTTCTCCTTCTGCTTCTCTTTGCGGTCCTCCTGAACTGCTCTCTCCTTGGCACCCTTGCTCAAGAAATACTCGCCAGACTCGATCTGCATATCAACCTTGCTCTTCTCAGGAGCAGGTGGGAACGGCGTGTATGTCTTCTTGGCCTTGTCGGTAACCTTGTGAGGTACACGTCTGTGGCTCAGTGACTTCTTCTTGAAGTTGGGCAAGAAACGGTCCCAGCTCTCGTTGGCGAGCTCAGGGTCCTTTGCAAGCTCCCTCTTAATCATAAGCTCCTTGATGTAATAGATTGGGTGGATGTTGCCCATGCAGTCCTCCACTACCCTGCGCACTTCCTTGAGGCCCTTGTACGGGCCCATTGCCGATACTGTGTTGCCGTGGACGAGGATGTAGGTCTGGGTGAGAAGCTCAAGAGCCTTGAGGGTAGATCCATTGGGGCCCAGAATTCTTTGACGTCGCTTGACGAAGCGGTCTTTGTTGTTGACAAGGTTGCGGATCTTGATGACATCGCAGGCAACACCATCCTCGAGGATTTTCAAGGCTTGCGGGGCTGGGACACTGCGCGCAAGCAGTTTGATCAGGTCGCGGGCATTAAGGATAGCAGCAGGATCATATGTTTTTCGGGTAGTCTTGACGGTCATGGAACCCTCTACGAGATCGAGGGTGCACGCGATGCCATGCTTCTCCAATGCCTTTGTTACTAGAGGCCAGGCCTCCTTCAGGTAGACTTCGCGGTATTTGGGGAAGAGGGTAGCGAATGATGACTCCTCAGCGAATGATCCCCCGACATTGTCCTCGGCCTTGAAAATATCGATCTTCCACTTGTCGATATCGTCCGTGTCCCACGGCTTCTCCTTCTTATGGGTCGAAGGCATTGCGGTCGCGTGCGATTAACTGGTCCCAGATATGATCGTTTAATGAATGCAATAGGTGATTATCCAAAGGCAGTTGGCGCAATGAGTTGGCCGCTCCCTTGTGACACCGGGAAGGGGTAAAAGTTGTGGTATTTCGAATAGAAAATACAACTACACTGGTAGGATATGATGCTAAAGACGACACTGGTCCAAATTTTTTTGTTATCGAGGAAACTTGGAGTGGGGCTGGCAGCAGATAGTGGAGACTGCAAAGACCCCTGCCGTGGATTGATCAATCGCGACAAGCTCCAAAATCTTCAATTGCGGGAGACTCCTGCTAGACCTCTACGCACGCCTTACCCCATACCACCACACAACCGTCACGATGTCGAAACGAGGAGCTGGCGCTGTCGACCAGATTGTGAAGCTCATTGTTGGAGCCGGGCAGGCCAGTCCGAGTCCCCCAGTCGGCCCTGCGCTTGGTAGTAAAGGTGTCAAGTCCATGGACTTTTGCAAGGCAAGCCCGCTTCATAATTGTGCTGGGAGCCATTGCTCGAGGCATAGACTCGACGTGTACTGACAAGTATTTTTTTCCTATAGGAGTTTAATGCTAGAACTGCACACATCGTCGTCGGCACCCCCATGCCTTGCCGTGTCACTGTCCGCCCTGACCGATCATTTGTCTTCGACCTGCGAACGCCCCAGACATCATGGCTTTTGAAAAACGCCTGCAACGCACCCGTGGGGAAGAAGGGAAGGAAGGGAGCACAAAAACCTGGCCACGAGTCGATCGGAACTGTGAGCCTGAAGCACATTTATGAAATCGCAAAGATTAAGCAGTCTGAACTTCGATTGTCCGGATTATCACTGGAAGGACTCTGCCGATCAGTTATTTTCCAGTGCAAATCGATGGGAATAGATGTTGTGGCTTAAATATGAGACCAAATGAATATCTGGCGTTGGGTTTTCGGTCGTCGGCATGTATTATTTAGTGTACAACAGAGCCCCGGGACTGGAGTAACTGACCCCTTGTATATGTCCCTTATCAAACGATGACTTATGGGAATGTGCAACCGAAATAACGGGACAACTTAGTGAACCATATGCCTGATAGTTAACAGCGGTGTTGCCCTATTGTATATGACGGCAACCCTACTAATGGATCTTGTGATTACATTGTCCGCATGTATTTCCTCAGAATTTTGCTGTATCTGATGTGGATGGTTTACACTTTTCTCGACGATCATGCGTCGAATTGATGTACGAAAAGAGCCTGTAGACGACGCCTAGAATGAAATGAGAGTGCATAGCTCTGGGAGCTGCAATCGTAACTAAAACCACAATGGCAACTCAAACGTGCCTTGAGTGACATTAGTGGAATTGGAGGAAGGTTGCGAATGTTCTTTAACTCTCTTGAAACCCAATATGACCGTCCTAAGGATTTGAGAATATCCTGGACGATCAACAATTCGCTTCGTATCTATCGCGGGAACCCCGCTGAAAAGTCCGGCAGAATGATTAACGTTAGTCACAGGACTCAGTGGCGTTTCTAAGACAGAGGGTATTGAAGATGCCCGACTGCGAAACTGAGGATCTACGTTCAACACTTTTAATTTTACATAAAAGGATACGAAAGCCTAAAGAAATAGGAAACTCCTTTAGGACAGTATATTTACTAACACTAGTAAATCAAAATACGAAGCGACTGGAAACAGGTAGCCGGCAAACTGTTATTACTGAACCTATGTAGTAGGCAACTATAACGTGCCAAGGGTGAAATGGGGTATCCTTCCATCTAGAACTTAGCATTCCATCTTTTTCCTCTTTTGCTTACCCCGACGACAGCAATACGCAACAAAGTGGATTGGAAGTGGGCACCTTGATGCCATTCTGTGTTGATAGCTGGGTTGAATCAATGACAATGAGAATTGTTTGCATGGATTCACGACTCGTCCGAATAGCCCGATGCCTCATCTGCGGCGGTCCGTGTCTGCGGATGCACCCTGCTTCGGCTTGGATGAGACCCTGGCGACCAGCGACCGGTCCCCGCCAAGAACCCCCGACGAACGGAGTGCGCTGCGAAATCGTATTGGCGAAGCCTACCTTAGGTAGTCATGCGGACGAGGAGCTACATACACTAGGTAAGGTAGGTGCGTAAACCGGCGGACCTCAAATGACTTCATTATAGCCATGCATATTTGGCGAGTTCTCATGCTCATATTCCTCATATACCCTACTCCAAAAATGAGCCAATATTTGCCCCCAATATAGACACCCACATGGATTAGTAGGTAGTTGGGGTATTTCTGGATGTCACGGAAGGGAAGACATGCAACAGGAGACGATGGCATGCTGTAGTACCCAATCCATGTCCCTACCACGGCGAGGGGCCGATGGAACTTCTGACAGGGACCTCGCCTCGGGACGAACCAACTGCACCTTCCTAAGCGCTCCGCGGAAAAATCAGTACTTTCGATCCTCCTTGAGGTATTTGGTGTTTTCGCAATAATTGATTACGGTACGGCCACGTGCCGTGATGCCTCTTGCCGGTAGTGCCGAGCTGCATACCTTGGAAGCAGCTGGATGTATCAGTTGGCGATTAATCAATCCGCGTGCTAGCAAGGTTGTTTAAGGTTTGCCGCAGAAGAGGCATCGGTGCCTTGGTTTGGCCTGATCGGCTCGGCTGGTCTTGCCGTGCCCGAAACAGCCAGCCACCAGCCATGGTCGAGAAAATTCTGCCGCTGGTTTGCCCCAACATTAGTACCTAACTAACTAGAAGGGTTTTAACCGCTTTTCAGAACGGGACCCGCGGCCTGTATAAGAGTCACTTCTTTTGCCGGGTTCGGGCGCGGAGCATATGCTTACTGTTCGCATGTGAGAACGGAGCTTAATGATAACGCACATGCGCTGTAAGATGATTGCTGCTGGTCCACTTATACTCCTGATGTCTAGAGATTGGCTGGTGCGAAGATACTGTGACTCTGCAGCCCAATCACTACCTATCAGCGATGACGGATGGATGACGGGGATCCCCCGGGAGGATCTCTTAATAAACATGGGGGCTGCATGAGTTGGGGTAGGATACCTAGAAGTGGTAGCCAGAGACTCAAAGAGGGCCGGATTACCGGGCTATCACGGCCAGCTGGTTGGCTCTCCAAATGTCACCTAGTCTGCCGGAGGTGTGAATGATGGAGTGAGGCCACCACACAGACTGCCCGTCCAGGTGCCCAACAGCCAGAACAGCACTTCCTTCGCATCTTCATGACGGATGGAGAGTGAGACTGATGCTTGCGGGTGGGACCGAGGTGGTGCAAGCCCCACTACCACTGACGAGTACCTTCTGTACCAGCTTTTGCCAATCCCCAGTAATTGCCTGTTGCCCGCAGTACATACAGGCAGGAAAAGCTGCCATCCATCCCACCAACACCATCATCCGGCACTCTTATCCTCCAGCTTTGTCCGCTGTCGCCGCTCGTTTCTTCCTTCTCTTCCCCCCCATCCTCCCCCCTCCCCAACGAATTTGCCAGCATTGGGCCAAGGCTCCCTTCGACAACATGGCCTTAGCCCAGTCAGACCAAGAACACCAGAAGGACGCCTCTGGTACGTTGCTATCTTCCCGACCCTTCCGAATCAATTTGTCCCAAATGCCCCACCTTGATTGTCGCAACTTCTCTTGCGATATCCGCACCTTGACATCTTGTGGTATCGTTTTGCTCACCAGGCCTTTTGAATAGTCCCCGAGGCGCCCAAGGAAAACGATCAGTCATTGGGCGTCAATGCGCCGTCCCAAAATGACGTGCCCGCTGTTCGCTTCTCCTCGGCGGTCGAGGAGATAAACCCAGGCCCAACACCGTTAACGAGCCCTCCAGAGGAACCTGCACAGAGCCAGGAACAGGAACCTCAGCTGTCAGACTCTGTCTCAGCCGAAGATTTGAAAGATGTTGCACGATCTCTACAAACCCTACCGTTACAGGAACGCCGCATCAATACCTTTCACTTCGAACCGTTTTCTTTACCACCCTCAAGAGTACGTCTGTCCCAACAGCCCATGGCACAAGGGTCCTCCATGTCCGTGCCATCATGCCAAGTTTTTCTTTTTTCGCAAGCCCAATTTCTTGGGTCAGCGCTACCTTTTGTATACTCCTTTTCTCAGCATGTGCACAACGACAAAGCGGCCTGTTTTTTGCGCCTGTATTCCTTTCGATTGACTCGTCATTGTAGGCTCCATCAAGAGACGAAGATTCACCCGGCCACTCGACGCTTCCTACGCCTTCATCTGCACAGTTCCCCCAATCGCCTCATGGCAGCCCGAGGCTGTCAGCAATGGCATCACCGCCGCTCACTCCCGCAGGATCAGCTCTTTCCCCGGAGAAGGAGAAGCTGAAGCCGTCTCTTCGGGTTGCACCAGTCGACGACTATCAGTCAATCACTCCCCAACCCTCAACATCAAACGAAAAATCGCCTTCGCTGGGCCAGCGAGTGCCTCTCGCACACCGACCTGCGTCTTCAGACCAGATTTTTAAGCGATCTGCCTCCGCCGAGGAAAGACACCAGGAACTCACGTCACACCGAAGAGGTCTTATGGGTAGGCCCGCAGGATCTGTTCCCGTGTCTCGAGAATCGAGCCCTTCGCGCATCTCAGCTTCCAACTTTTATTCGAAACCAATGACTCCCGGCGGAGATGCGAACGATCCGTATGCCAAGGGCCGGCGGCCTCCTCAGCAATCTGGGCGACACACGATTGACCCTCGCTTCATATTCACGAAGAAGAAGAAACAACATGGACCATCTCCAAGCTCCTCCAAGATGAGCCTGACGGAAAAGCGATCCTCTGGCATTTTTGGAAAGAGTACGAGCGACGACACTGCCAGCGAACGGGGTGTGCCCACCGCTCAACACCATGGCCATGGTCACCACCAGCACGGAGGCCATGGCTCAATGGCAGATCTAAAGCGGTTCTTTAAGAAAGGAGGCAGTCATAAAAAACGGGAGTCCAAACAAGTGGCTACACCATACTCGTCCACAAACGGCCTAAACACGCCCCCCGGTGCCCGGTCATCCACACAGCTTCCGTTTGGAGATGATCATGGGCTGTCCTCCAAGTACGGTAAGATCGGCAAGGTGTTAGGCTCCGGGGCTGGTGGATCTGTGAGGTTGATGAAACGTAAGGATGATAATACCGTGTTCGCCGTCAAGGAGTTCCGTGCCAGACATACCTATGAGAGTGAGAAGGAGTATAACAAGAAGGTGACGGCGGAATTCTGTGTGGGGTCAACTCTGCACCATGGCAATATCATTGAAACTCTTGACATATTGCACGAGAAGGGACGGTGGTACGAGGTCATGGAATATGCGCCGTTTGACCTTTTCGCGATTGTTATGACAGGGAAGATGTCACGCGAGGAAATCACTTGCTGCTTTTTACAGATTCTGAATGGTCTCACATACCTTCATAGTTTGGGCCTCGCTCATCGCGATCTCAAACTGGACAATGTGGTCGTCAGCGACAAAGGGATCATGAAAATCATCGACTTTGGTAGCGCCCATGTCTTCAAATATCCTTTTGAAACTGACATGGTTCCGGCCAAAGGTATGTCACGCCCCCGACGCTGGACAATAAGTGTGCAGAACTAACCGCTCCTAGGTATTGTTGGCTCCGATCCATACCTTGCGCCTGAGGTGTATGAATCTAAGGAATACGATGCCCCTCCAGTTGACATTTGGTCGCTCGCCATCATCTTCTGTTGCATGACTCTCCGGCGCTTCCCATGGAAGTTGCCCCGAATGACAGATAATTCTTTTAAATTGTTTGCATCTGAGCCAACCCCTGATCACGACCCTGCGGCGTTGGTCTATAAATCTAAGCGATCGGCGGAACTGCTTATGATGTCGCCGAAACCTGGTGACCACGAGAGCCAGCACTTCTCTGACCAGCACCACCATGATTCTCATTCGCACCATCACAAGCGCGGAGAGTCTACTGCAAGCAAGGCCGCAGAGCCTGAAAAGACCGACAAGACCGAAAAGCCGGAAAAGACCGACAAGGCTGAAACGGCGGAGACTTCTGAAAAGACCGAGAAGAGCGCGAAGCCAGAAAAGACTGAGAAGGCAGAGATCTCATCATCGCAGTCTCAGCAGCCGTCGGGTGAGAAGAAGGAGGTCATAAGAGGCCCATGGAGAATTCTGCGCTTACTCCCACGAGAAAGCCGGCATATTGTTTGGAGAATGCTCGAAATGGACCCCAAGAAAAGAGCTACCATGGATGAAATTTTGGCCGAACCCTGGGTCGCAGACACTATCATCTGCCAGCAGCTGGACAACGGAGAGGTTATCCCTGCTTGTGACCACGAACATGTGCTGGAGCCACCCAGCGCCCAGCCACAGCCCAAGGCATAGTTCCCTGCACATATATGATGTTGTCCGCCCTCCGTGTGGCGGAGGGAAATAATTGTAGGATATTCAGCGGCGGGAGTATCATACTGGGAATAGTACCCTTTGGAAACGATTTAATGTCCCCTTTTCCTTTTCCTTTTCCTTTTCTTTTGGTTTATTGATTGGGTTACAACGGCAGAATGGGATGACAGACAGCAGCGGTTCGTGTGGCGCAATATTGCCTAGATAGGTGCAGACATTCATTCTCCTCAGGGAGTTATTACACAACAGGTGGTTTCAGAGAAAAGAGCATATAGGGGCATGAATAGACACATTAGCTTTTCGCGTACCTTGTATCATCATTCACTGGACCAAATGGCTGGTCAAAGAAGTACGCCGAGAGATATGGATAGGCGCCTATTCAGAAGCAGTGAGGATCAGTGTTCGCCCGTCTGAGGCTCTCGCACTTTGGATGATCGAATTCCCTCACAAGTACGGGGACTAATCAATGGTGTCGTGTATGCAGAAGGCAAAATTGGAGGATAAAATCTGAGACATAACTCTGGCAAGGAGTAGAGGCTGATTTCCCGATTCGTAAGCTGGATTGGAAATGATCTGTGTGGTTGTTCCTGCTGATCTGCCGAGGCCGAACCCGAACAGCAACTGATTTGGCCCCCTGCTGAGACGCTATGTTAATCAAAGGCTTCATCGACCGAGAAAGACATGCACAGGCAAGAAAGAAAGAGTTTTCTATGAAAAGGAGGGATATTGTTATGGCTTCTTGAACCTTTTGATCTGTTTGGAGACCTTATTGAGGAGTGCGCCAGGCCAGCGGCTTAAGCAGGTGGGGGTTGCTCTCCGATCTGATCGTGGGGAAAAGTTGCTGGGTGATACCGGAGCCGGGGAAATCCGATCCCGAGGTGGCCAGTGGCAGAAGCGGAAAAAAAATTGCCTGGGCTTTCTGGAAGCTGTTGGAATAGAGCTCCACTGCCGAATAGCTTCAGTCAAATTCCTCATCCTCCTTCCGAACTTCGCTCCTCTGCATCAGCATCAAACCCGTAACCCGTTACACCACACAACCACCATCACAATGGTACGTGCGAACAACTCAATTGTTCCCATCAATTCGTCCCCTCCTTGGGAGAGCCGCTCGGCGAACCTCCTAGGCATCGCCGGCGGGGCGTATCCTCGGCAATATCCTTTGCTTCGCACTCTACGACGAACGACGTCTGGTGGTTGGGAATGAACTAACATGGGAATTGACACAGGCCACCTCAATCCGATCCATCCGTGCCCTCGCCCCCCTCCTGGACCGTGTCCTGGTCCAGCGTGTCAAGGCCGAGACCAAGACCGCCAGCGGCATCTTCCTGCCCGAGTCCAGCGTCGAGAAGCTGAACGAGGCCAAGGTCCTGGCCGTCGGTCCCGGTCTTCTCGACAAGAAAGGCAACCGCCTGCCCATGGGCGTCGCTGTCGGCGATCGTGTCCTCATCCCCCAGGTATGCCACACCGATCTTTCGGAATCGATATGCAAAGCGGGGAGGGGAAGCGGAACGTAGTTTTCTGGCAGCTTCTGA